GAGAAATTCATCCTCGGGTTGTCCAACAAGGACTCTAAGTAGCTAAAGTAGCCGTGCACACATAATTTAATGGGAGTTTAACTCACCTACTGGAAGGTGAATTTGCAGACAGCATAAAGCACTATGTTTTATACGCACATCATATATAAGGTCACAAAACGGCCTTTGAACTTACACGTACTTTACAAAGATGTACTTTTCCTTATTAATTATTAAAATAAATACGTGTACAAAATCTGAGAATACTTCTTCATCGTTATAATTATTACAGAAAGACTTATTAAATTACTTAAAGTTATAGTAAAATTCGGCTAAAAATATTTTTCCTTTTATGCAAAAATTCAAAGAGAAGTTTTAACTTAAATTGAACTTTGATAGCGTGTAATAATTAAAGCGTAAGGTATATAATAATTAAATGTTGAAAAGATATGTGACTTGCTGTACGCAGCGAGTAATTTATCTTACTTTACAATTTTATATAATATTACAATAAGCTAGAATATATGATATTTCATAAAATGTTTTATGTTTTTGCAAGAATATTTTTCAAGACTTATATGATGTTCTTATATTTTTACATGTAGAATATATACATTATATTCTTATATGTAAAATGTATTATTACAAGATGTTTTCAACGAGTCTTACTTTATGATAGAGAGTCTTATAATTCTCACACAGTTTGATACACTCGTCAAAGATCTTCATACTCTTTCTGGTTTTCCCCGCAAATACATCTGCCAGATTGATAAATCCTTTGCACATGACGACAATCTGGTTGCTGAGCGCGGTGAAGAGATTGCTTATCCTCTCGCGGGTATTGTAGAAAGGGGAATTCAGCCAAATCGTCCTGAAGAGATGCATCATTTTTGGCAGATATTGAGCCACGCTCGCAGGAGTTGTACAAGTCTTCAACTCGGCGAGAGTGTCCTCCAGAATGCTCAAGAACTCAATGTTCGATTTCGCTTCGACCATACCATGCTCGATCTCGTCCTTCAACATCAGGAACTGACGTATATAAGTGGACTGCGCAGCCAATAATATGTTGATAATAAGCTCCACCGTTTCTCTATGTAGTTGATAATTCAAACCGCAGAGATTGTCGTCTGGCGTAAAGAAAAAGAAGCATATATTTAAACAAATTAATACAGCAACGTCTGTGTACAATCTTCCCAAAATTTCTACACTTACAGAAAAACATGGCAACTATAAAAATGTCAACTATATATACAAATTTTATATGTAGAATTAATGTAATACATAGTTAAATAAATTATTTTAGTTTTATTAACAATAATAGTTTATTCAACTAAATACATTAATTTTATAAATGAAACTTGCATTGTTGTTACCTTTATATATACTATCCTTATGTCATTCCCTCTGAATATAGATTTAAATTCACAATTTGCTTATCTATAAATAAAATTCACATAAAACAAATACAATGTAAACGTGTAAAAATTTAACATTTATATACGAGTTATGAATATTGTGTGATCAAATGCTACAGATAATGTTAAGTTTCTTCTTAACTCTATGAGTTACAAAGAGGGATTCCATTAAAATGTCACATTAAAGGAAACTTTTGTTCCTCCTAAGAAATTTCCGGACATATATTATCGGGAAACGATTCTATCCTCTCTGTTTTCTTCTCGCAGCCACTACGTCTTTTCCTAGTAGTAAGCACTTACATCGATAAGTCCAGAAGTCATATTCGTCGTCGAGGCACAGTAACTCATGCGGGCTTGCTTGTTCCTGATCAGAGAGAGCTATTTTGATTTGGGTGTTCCAATAGGCCACCACACCCTCCAGCCTCTTCACCAACTCCTTATCGGCGCTACCCTCCTCCGTGGTGAACTCCCTACTCTCCAGAGGTACATATATCACGGTTAAGCCCAGCATTTTGTACGTGAGGTCCGTTAAATTGCACAAGAAGGTGTCCAGTTGGGTGCAGAAGTCCGCTTTCACACATGTGTTTGGTGCGATTAAGGAAAAGAAAATCCAGGAACGTGATACGACATCGGACCTCGTTATCGCTGTTCCCAATACTACTACTATTTTTTATACCGTTCAAGCTGTCCAGGCGTCTATCACATAGAATTGTAGTATGTATCCTCGCGATACGTCCGCTGATGGAGATTTATTGAGTTGAATTGTCCGCTGTATATCGAAAGTGATTGACTACACTACATCGTCATTGTCACATCAATTTACAACTGAAGCGTGCAGCTGTAAATCTTAGCGAATACAAAAATTGGAAAAAGAACATGATCGTTTTGCACTTGAAGTGAACCATATGTCAAACTTAATGATTAATGTAAAAAAAAAACATCATATCGCTTCCATACTTTAAAAGTGACATAACTCAAAGAATTGAATTTCTCTCAAAAAAAAGAAAAATTATTTTTTAAAGTGAGAGAAAATTTTTGACTAACCAAATAATAAGACAAAAAGAATATATTTTTAACTTATAATATCAAATGTTATTTCTATTATTTTCGTTTCACAGTCATTAAAAAATTACGTTTTTAATGATTTTTTAAAACTCCTTTTTTTACATATAATGATTTTGATAATTTTTTAATTATTTTTTAATTAAAATTAAATTCAAATTTAATGAGATAAGAATAATGTTCATTTAACTCATTCCTCGTAATAACTCGAAAACTCACGTTTTTAATATGTTAAATTTTAACTAAAGAAGCAATATCATCTATTTTTTTTATCTTTGCACAAAAAGGACGGTTTTGCTGAAGTAAAAATTTAGCTAAATCTAAAAATCATCTTATTGGACCATCAAAATAATTATATAGAACACTGAAGCTAGGATGTCAAAAGTTTTTGCAGCATTGCTCATCATACTTGAGTTTTCCACTTAATTATTATATTTTAATAGTTCAAATTATTTTCAGATCTGTATTTAGCTAAGTTTTTAGATATTTCAACGAAATCTCAGCAAAAATCGTTCTTTCCGTATGAAGTCTACGTGTTTTGTAAACTTCGTTAAAGCTATCACTAATTTATTGACATGTACGTTTTATAAGCATTGCGTTGATCTCGCATTAATCATCACGGCTATAAGAACAATAGTTTGAGGCATAATTCAAGAATGAATCCGCGATCGCTACGTATACATTTAGGAGGATAAAAAGCGCGACGCGTGAGCGGAGTTGTTGGGCGTCCTAATACAATTAGCAAAGAGACGCTTCGATCCAGTTAAAATCCGCTCAGGATCCATTAGAAAATAATGAAGTGGCTCCCGTACGAATGCAATGCAATCGTTTCTAACTCGACGGCGAAGTAATCCCGTTCGCGTACGTGGGCAAACATCGACGCTGGATTTACCAGCGGCGGTGAGTTGTGCAGTGCATTTAGCCGAAAATTATGGTAATAATAACTTTCGTGCAATTCCCAGGCGTCCCCACTTTCCCGTCCCGTCCCCCGCGGGACCAGGCCGGAACTTTGCGTCGTGCGTTGCGGTAACGGGATTGCAGCGCTAAAGTTGGAAATTCACTTGGTAATGTCATCACGTTAGATTGTTATGACCTTAAGCCGGAGCAACTATGGACGATCGCGATGATCGCCCTTGGCATTGTAAGACTGGCCCGTCGTGGCTCCTTTGTCACCGCTGTCGATTGAAACTACAGCCACTTATCGATCGTCTTTAGCGTATATGCGAGATTATTCGCTAGCAGTCGACACGATTGACCTAAATTACGACTAAACCATGAAATTTTTATTATCTATTACACCGGTTGATCAGAAACATTAGATATCAATTTTGTTAGAAAAAATAGATACAAAAATTTAAATAATCAATTAAAAACCTTGTAGTATTTAATCCTACATTACTCAATCAGTAGTTTTTTAATGTAAATTATTCGCACGAGATGTTTCTGACACCTCAATATTATACTTCAATTTTCATTGTTTTTTTTATAATTTACAAAATTAAATAAATATTAATAATATACATTTAATTTTATATATTCTTTACAAAGAAAGGATGGTTTTAATGAAGCATCTAAAACTGTACTAGTAACTAGATATAAATTTGAAAATAATTTTGTTGCCAGCAAAATGATTATAAAGAACGCTCAAATTGATTATTAGGTAGTCAAAGCTTTTTACAACATTATCGTCATGCTTAAATATCCTACATAATTATTAGTCCAACAAAATTATTTTCAAATCTGTATCTGTCTAAATTTTTAGATACTTCAGCAAAATGGTTCTTTCCAAGTAGATAAATACAAAATTTTTTAAATTGTTTTACAATTAAGAACGAATTTATAAAGCCAGGAAGGTCTTGGATACAAAGAATGAAAGGTTAAAGAAGAATTCAAGCGTTAATATGAAAGCAGTATAAATTTAGAGAATAGAACGTACTAATTACACATGTTATCCAGAGGAAAACAAGAAGACTAGAATTTACGCAATAAAATAGACTACGGCAGAATGTTCGAAAACTCAATTGGTTCGATTGGATTGAAATTGCTTCGCAAAAATCGATCATATATCAGAACAGATATATATCGGATTGAATCATGGATCCGAGCGAGAGATAAAACGCGTGATGTCTCTCTTGGGCGCCTTTCGCTGGTGAAGCTTTTTAAACGTACCTTTAAATCCGCGAAAAACTTTAAATCACCACCCACTACAAAATCAACTGGTCGCGAGCGTTTCGCGCGCGCGCAACGGGATTTGAAAGTTAAACAGAATTTACATTATACGGTGAAGTCCAACCTCAAGTGGGTCACTCGGGGAGTTGCCGAGAAGACCGACGGGATATCGTGTCTGGACCCAATTAAAGTTCTGTAACTCGCGATCTGTACACGTACATTATTTACTGAGATGAAATGAAAAAAAAAAGAGAAAGAGAAGCAAAAAATGAAGAAACTTCGCCAAATTTTCCTGTTGGCCTATCGTTATATAGTCAGTTCATTCGTTCTACGGATTCGTGCTGTTTGGCCCGATACCTCACGAAACTTTTCGCGTTAGTAACTCGAGTTAATTGGGTACTTTGATGGCAATGTGATAACAGAGACGGAGGGCAAAAGGATACTGTCGGGCCAGGTTTCGATTGCGAAGAAGATCGGTGCGAACATGTTCTGGATGATGCCTAGTATATAGCTCTCCACCTTGTCGTTCATCGACCCGAAGAGAATGCGTTCGCGAAAGTTCTCCGGGTAGAGAATCTCGTTGGGCTGTCTCACGAAGTAGGTTAGCTCGTGCACAGGCACCGTAGGAAATGAAAATTCTGTGGTCAGACTGCCGTTCACGTGATAAATGCAGAGGACCGGAATGCTCGGTTCGTGGAAGAACTCGCGAATGTCCATGTCACATTTCCACGTCCAATCGTCGTCCGTCAGACCGCTCAGAGTCGTCATATCCTTAACACACTGAACCTGAGAAAAGGCATCGAATTTTTATGAATACTTACTTCTAATCCGAACTAATAAATCAATTTTTATTTTTCAATGACATCGTATATTATTTCTAGAAGTAGTACAGTATGCGCCAAAAAAATGCGACTCTCATAACTAACACTTAAGTTGTCAGTTTAATTAAATAAAGTGAGTGGAGACGGGGGCAAATTTGATTATATCACAAATATTTTGTCCTTCTACCAAATATTTATTCGATATGATTTCCTTTAATTGCAATCACTGCGTTACTGTGTCACACTCAGCAGACATAATAGTGATTAAAAGAGAGTCGCATTTTTTTTAGCGCATACTGTATATTATCTCAATGTAGAATGTAATTGAAATTTTAAAGTAATTATTTGAATGTAATTATTTGCTTGTAACTGATATAATTAAAGGATACTGTATTTATGCACATGTCCTTATGGAATAAATATTAGAATAAATACTATATATATATAAAAGTTAAATCATTAACTATATCTTTTCGAACGTACATGGAAAGAATAATCTTGCTAAAATTATTTACAGATCTAAAAATAATTTTTGTTAGAGAGATCATCAAAATAATGAAAGTTTTTTTAATTTAAACATAACGAACAATGCTGCAAAATTTTTAAGCATTTTAGCAACTAGCTTAAGCGTTCTATATAATTATTTTGATAGCTCAACGAAATCATTTTTAGATCTATATTTACCTAAATTTTTTAGTATTTCTGCGGCAAAATCGTTCTTTCCGTATATAAACTGTAATTCAATCTTAAAATTACATATCATAGTTTGTTTGAAATAATTTTAGATTGTTAATCTAAGAAAAATACTCAAACTTACCAATTCATCTAATTCATTCGCCTCATATATAGGACGTAGCACCTCTTTTTTATCTGCAACAATATTCATCCCGTTCGATAATCTCTATCGTAGATCGCAAGATGATGCCGCGGTTGCACAGCGAGATTCTATCTCTCTGTGCATTTGACGACATTTATTGTTGGAAAGGCGATCTCGTAACTAATATAAAGGGCATTGGACAGAGGAAACAAATTCTAAAGGACGCGTTGGCCGTTCGTTAGTCGTCAATTGGAACGGCGCAATGTGCCCTCCTAAATTCGCCATCCCGGTTAAATAGAAGACATTCGTTTCAAGAGGATCTCTCATTCGTCCCTATCATTCCTCAGGCCTTCTCCACGTCTCAGTTCCATCGCTAGGCCATCGCCGCCACCCATGTCTTTACTCTTGACAATCTAATAGGAACTATAAATCGCGAGTAGCTAATAAATCGAAGGAAGAGGAAACACGTCGCGTCGCGATCGAGATGCTACCGTAGGCCACGTTGGGGCAATTTATCCCGCTATGATGGCGAACATTATGCAGATACGACGATGTCTTCTTTGGCGACTTGCAACGACTTATCGGTCTCAGATATATATTTCTCTCAAAAATCGTTGTTCTTAAAAAAATTATTAGAATTATTTAGCATGAAATAGGGAGATAAGTTGTGGATATATTTATGCCAAATTTTAGGATTTAAGTTAATAATGAAAAATAATGGACAACATTGAAGGGACGATTCTGTTGAAGTCCCTAAAAATTTAGCTAGATCTGAAAATTTTGTTGGAATCGTCAAAATCATTTTGTAAAATGTTCAAACTAGTTACTAGAATGTCCAAACTTTTTATAGCATTACTCATCGTGCTTGAGATTCTTACGTAATTATTTTGATGATTCAATAAAATTATTTTCAAATCTATATCTACATATAACTAAATTTTTAGATACTCCAGCAAAATCAATCTTTCTGTAGCAAAATCAATCTTTCACCCAAGCAGAACAACAAGTTACTATAACGTAAAAATAACGTTAAAATGAATGGTAACTGATTGAAAAATAACTTTTAGTAATTATTTAGGAGCCACTCTGATGTCATTTTAACATCATGATGACTTGTGTTCTGCTTGTTATTCATAACTTCTTCATTATTTTAATATTAAAATAATTGTTTATCTCACAGACGTGTCATTTAGAATTACTATACAAGGAAAATATAAATCCAATTTATATAAATCTCAAATATTATAAATACCAGATATTTTCTAAGACGAATATACTTAAAATATGAATATATAAGGACAATAAAGGGCTATTTCTCATCTTTTTAAATGCACTGTCAAAGTGTACAGTTACTTTGTCGCATGAATAATTAAAATCATCCGACTCTGTGAATTAATGTGAGATCAGACAAAGCATTTTACCGCAGCTAACTCGTGATGAAATCGCCGTCCTCGATCATACGTAACGTTAATTGTTTGCGGATTAAGGGTTTGTAGATCCTACCGTGTTTGAATAGGAAGAATTGTGAGTAATAACGTTAGTTTGCGTCAGGGCAGATAGATGCAGGCAGCTCGCATATAGATTATCGGTTTATCCAGTTTACCTACTTTTGAATCGTGCAAGTACCATGAGAACTCGTGAGAGGACGAATTAGGTTCATCTTCCAACACACGGCGGGTACGATTGAGGTCGAAGGGTAAATTACCATAATCCTGGAGACAAATTAGGAACCTGCAACAGCGCGGAACCTGCGAATGACCGATTAATCGTTGCAAGTGGCCGGCTTATGTATGATATGTCATAATTATTGAAATTGTTGAAATTGAAATGAAAATTGGCTCATTAATATCAAGTATTCTTGATGCATAATCATACATCTGTTACATCTGTTTCGTCTTTAAAGTTATCACGGAATTTATGGTTACCAAATGCACTCGTGGGAGCATACAAAACAGCCATTGTAATTGCAAATTGGACGCGGCCATCGTCGAATCCGTGTCGAAATTTGAATGTGCGTCCCTGTCGAGCGACTTGCTTCAAATTAGCCGCATTATGGCTAACGTGGTCGTTATTATTGCTGCCTTGTTAATATTTGCAGAAGTATCGAGGAAATTATGTCCGCTGTAATGACTGGTGCAAACTAGAAAATGAATTAAATAAGCCAATCCTGCTTAATTAATCAGCGCCGCGCTGTATAATGAAGTATTCAAAAATGTATCAGTTGCATGTATCAATCGCAGATATCGCGCACAGAGCGGTAATGGAATAAACATGTCGCGATTTGTGGAAATTGGAAATTGAGGTATTTGGAAAAGATGGAGGTCGAAATAAAAAAGCGGGTAACAAACAGATCGAGTTGAGAATTGTGAAAAACGAAAGTATTTAATATTCCTTTCACGAAAGTGTGTTGCTTGTTCCGTAATCGATTTTGCGGTATCTTCGGATTTAACGGCGGAATTGGAGTGCGCGATGAGGTCGTACGAGACAGAGGTTGAAAACGACGGGCCCGAAAGTGTCGAAAATAGGACAGGCGGAGCGAAGAAGCGAAGTCGGGAAAGGAGCGGAAAATCGAGAAAGTTGAAACGGAGAAGTGGGTGCGTTTAATATTTTTCTCGTAAATCTTACCGAGCCTTTCCGCTTCATCGCTGGACTCGGCGTCCAAGTACTCTCGGCGTGGGTCCGGGGGCGGCTTATCTTTAACTTTATTTCTCCGTCTTTGCATTTTATTGACGGGGTGGCCTGCCGGCGTCGTCACCTCTCTCACACGAGTCTGTGCAGCTGATTTATGCGCCCGGTCCGACTGTTACGGCAGCGAATCTTTCAGCGTTTTCGCCGTAGATATCCTGAAGCACCACCGCGAAGTTGCCCGTGAGCAAGAGGAGTGGTCTCGGCAGTAGATCGGCTTTTGGAGACCGATCGTTCGTTGTCGAAGGGGTTCTCAATATCTCGAAAAAAGTATCGTCTTCAGTCGCTGTTTAAATTATTAGATATAGACTATATACAAAAATGATTGGTAGTATATAGAATATTTGTAAAATATTTTCACCATTTCTCTGTGAATAATCATTGTAAAATTTTGTTTTTGATTTAATAACTTAAATTAAAAAATGTTAATAAATTTAATTTAATTTAATAATCTGTACCAATTCATTTTGTCAAGAATGATGTTTTATACAAGATATCGCATTATTAATCCAGGCCTAATCACCCAATTTTTTTTAAGTAAACGACCTACTTTATTTTTATATTCCAATTAATATCATCATTATTAATAACATAAGTCCGTATTCAGAATGCTTATTATGATGTTAGTGCGCATTTAGCACATACGTACTTCACACGTTACATATATTATAAAATTTCAGAAATAAAAGTACGCATTTATCATATAAAAGCATCAGTACGGAACATATTGTACATTATTAATAATTTTCCAATTAATTAATATTTGAGAAAATTATGAATATAGATTTAATTAAAATTTTCTGAAAAAACAATAAAAACCAGATATTAAACGGCATAAGCACGATTAAGTAGTTTATTATGACATTATTTCTAAAAAAATTAAGATTTTAATTAATATATCATTTTTTGTTGCGGATTTCTTATGGAATTGCATATATAAAGGTTCATAAAGAAGAGTTTTTAGAATAGAAGGAAGATATATTAAACAATACTTATATGTATAAAACAAAATTTTACAGAGTTCACATTTTTTTGCTGTTAGATAGAAACAAGTGACAATTAATTTCACATATTTTTTGTGCTTATTTAACTTCTTAATATATTTAAATTTTAAATATACATATTTATAAACATATACATTTATCTCTATTATTATTATTATGTATAAGTTATCTCTTCCAATAAATTGAAGCTTTGCAGAGCTAATGAAAACTTTCCACCTCGTTGCACACATTACACGTTCTGGTGAGCAAATCGCAAAACTTCAGTTTATTAGGTTCATTGTGGCCGTTTATTCGTTAAAATTACGTGCATTACCTCATTTCGAAGTAGCTGCCTCATTTGCAATCATATGCATTTTGTACGTGAATAATTATTGCACTTGTTATAAGACGTATTAATACGGGATGATCTCTTTTAATAATGAAAATCGACTTTTGTTATCCTCGATGTCAAGATCGATTTCAGAAACATGAAAGTAGGTAGTAAAACATAAAATTAAAATAGCTTTAATTAGAAAAAAGTGCAATTTGCAGGAAATAATATTATCATTATTATATGGCGTTTAGTTTGAACATTCGATACATAAAATTTAAATATTAATATTATTATACATATCACATATTTTAGAGATTTTTAGATATTAGATATTAGATTTAGATTTAGATATTAGATTGTTAATGAAAGAAAGTATCATACTGCATCTATTCATGAATTATGATTTGTTGATAAGTTATATGAATAGAAACATATTCGCTATAATTATTAATATTGCTAATTGCAATTTTTAATAAAATTGTTGACTTTTAAATAAATGCATTTCTAAAATTCGATATTATTATCTATGTTTCTTTCATTCAACTTAATTGTTATCTATCATCCGGTTTCTTTCAGCATTTACATATTTATTGTTATTTCAAAAGTCAATAATAAATTTTATTTGCAAATAAAGCAAAAACGTTTGTAGTTGGCGAATATAAAAGAAAGAGGCCAGTATATTATATTGACGCTTTCGATTTTCTACTTCATTACGTATTTTAATATCACGTAAGATTTTCTTTGTTTCATTTCATAACATTGAAAATGAAAAATGAATTAAAAAGGTCAGAAATATAATTTCTGCATACAATAATAAAATGTTTTTAATGTCGCTATAAATATAAATGTGGAGTATTTCGTAATTTTTTTTTTTAAACAAAATCATGAACAATACTAGAGTAGTAATATAAAATATCATATATTAAATTGACAATATTTAATAATATTAATTCTATACCATTTTTAACTCTTCATGGTCACACTTCTAAAAAGCCACACTATGGTTACTCTGAGTGAAAATGACCTGAACTCATCTTTAAAGTGTTACCAAATCGACAATATTATTATAGTTGCAATAATTAAAAAAAAATACAGTATATAATTTTATTCTTTAAGAAAATGGAATAGTGGCGTTTTTGTGAAAAATTTAATGTTAACACTAAAAATCGTAAACATATATTAGAATTTAGCGTAAAAGACGACGTTCGAGTTATTTTGACCCAGTGTAACCATAAAGGGTTAATCGTTTTTCCTAAAATTTAAAGTTTAAATGTGCATCAGCTTTATTTTTTGAATAAACAAAAAATTCGCGTTTGTGTTTCTCGTTTATGTTTTAGTGTTTTTACTATATTTCAACTATAACTCTTTAACGAAGTGATGACATGTTACTGTGTGCACATGAAAATAATCATAAAACATCGATTCAAATCACAAAGGCCGCGTGTATCGGCGAAATATCCTGACTTGGCTGTATGAGTCGTGTTCACTGGTACGTGATTCTGCGTAGGGCATAGAGCGTCCATCGCAGATATCCGGTTAGATCGACGGACACGAGCGAAAGGAGAAATTGCACAGGTTGGTTATGGAGGGGGCAGGTCGATGGAACGAGATTAAAAGAGGCGAAGCTACAAGATTAAAAGGCAAAGCGGGACCTACTCCGAATTGAACGGCGTCGGTTGGCTGCTCGCGGAGACATTTATATTCCCGGGAAATCGTTATTGACCGATCAGAGAACCCGAATGGCTTTGTCGCGCCGATTCTCCCTTTCTTTATTTCGTGCACCCTTTCTCTGGGAAAGAACGAGATAGCGCGTGAAAATCGACATCTGTCCTGCCAAGGGTTTTTGTCGCAATATCCTTGCGCACACTCGCTACGAATCGCAATCAAAAAGCGTAACCGTTATTCAATCATACATATTTCGTGAAATAAATCGATAATATTCTACAGTTTTTCCACATGATATCTTTTAACGTGCAACATATAAGAAAGTAAAAAGAAGATTTAATTAATTCTACAAGTAATACAAGTTATATAGACTCAGCCACACTTAGAATGCAATTTTAATTATAAATAAAAGCATGGGTCAATATTTTCGAAATTAGACGAGAGATTCACAATAGGAAACATTTCGGGTTCTTCGTCACAATTTTCGCCAATAGCTTAGCAGTAGTAATAGCTGTCTGAAGTTCTGTTAGAAATATGGTCCAAAACGCCAAAACATACCTATAGACCATGCAGACCGGAAAACGGAAATTGAAGTAGAACAGTTTTGAGACGAGTTTTGCCAGGAAGAACTAGTTATGAAACACGGTACATTGGAGTTAGCGTGGATCGAGGACTTACGTAAAACTTAATCGAATAAAACAAATACATATTTAAATGTGTTTGCTGGTAAAACGTTTTAACAAGATTATTATATTGCAATTTTTGTATTTAAACAGTATTTAATTTTTATATTTAAACAATATTAAAATATAGGAAAATTTAGTTGAAAAATTAAATTTGTTAAAACATTTTTATAATTTTATTGTTTTTTATAGTTTTGCATTTTTTAAAGTAATTTTGTTAAAGATTTGTGTCTCTTTATTGATCGCAATTGGTTTAATAATATTGCTATTATAGTAAAAATGATAATTTTAGAAACTTTCAACTGAATTATAATTATAATTATAATAATAACTTTTTGAAAATTAATATTAACTCATTCTTTATACTTTTCAAATAGCATTTATTTTTCAATAGCATTTCTTTTGTTTTATTTAAAATTATTTGTAATTAATATTTGGAATAAATTATTAATTTATAAAAGCTTTCGTGAATTTGATGCGTATGTGTCTTTATTTGCATCAAATAATATGGAATAATATGTGGAACACAGTTTGATTTATTATAATTGCTTACAGTCTGTAGTATTTGTGATATAGGAATAAGAGGATATCGATTTCTGGCAGTTATACATAACATGAAAGTTAGGCGTGGATGCAATTGGACCGATGTAATAGGTTTGTCTGTTTAAATTATAGAAGATAAAGTTGCGGGTTGAGTATCTCATACATACAGATAAATTGTATTCTTCCCATTAACTCGGTCTGCGGCACATGAAAAATAATTAAAAAGCATTCCCGACAAAGTGTATCTCCGTTATTGTTTGGCGAATTAATTAACATCCCGATATTTCTACTTCAAAACGAAACTAGGTCGAATATCGAAGTAAAAGCAACCATAGTTATCGTATATATGCATGCTAATTGAACGACGAACAATTTAGAATGGTACGGTATATGGCAGAATGCTTCTAGTTGATTGCGATCGCAAATACTCTTTATCAAATTTCTTCATAAGCGAGAACATCTTTAACATTTCTTGTCATCGTGATGAACGTTTTACGAAAAAATTAATTTAGATCCTCCAAATGCACTTAAATAATAAAAAATAATTTTATTTACCATTCAAGTATCAAATTTATCTATGAAAAAGTTTAGTTCTACAATTTTAAACACATAATTACATTAAACTAAACTAAAATAATTAAATTTATGTATCAATAGGATACATTTATATAATGCTGATGTCAAGTCCGTTAATATTGTTATGTAAAAATATATATTTAATTAAAGTTATATTGCAAGATAATAGAGGAAGGAAGGGAAGAGGTTATAGAATACTACTTTGTTTTATTGAAATAACTGAAAATTGAAATATATATATATAACTGAAATAACAGATATTCATGTGACATAACTGCTTTTAGTACAAGTTTGCTTTATATTTCAGAAACGGTTGAGCTTTCGACTTATGTTTACTAAGGCTTTCTTACTCACAAGGGAAGTTTCACAACTGTCCGGAACCGATTTGATTC